GTGGCCTTCTGATCATCGACCTATACGAATAGAGTTCGCACTAGAACCTGAAAATTTACAAAGAGGTCGATTTTATTTTGATAAACGTATGCATGGAAAGAGAGGGGTGGAGGAGGCCATTGTTCGTGGATGAGATGTTGAAAATACTAACTCAAATTTAAGTGTTCTTGATCGTATTGCTCGATGCCGGTCAGAACTCTCTAAGCTTAAAAAGACCAATGACTGGAATTCAAAATCAAGAATCGAACGTTTACAGATTGATTTGGACAAGGAGAGCTCAAAGCAATTCCCAGTTAATAGTTTGGTAAGGAGACTGAGACAGGAATTGGCTACGGCTTATAGGGAAGAAGAGATTTTTTGGAGGCAAAAAAGTAGAGAAGAATGGTTACGGGAAGGAGACAGGAATACAACTTACTTTCATAATGTGGTTAAAGGGAAAAAAATACGAAATAAAATTTTAATGCTTAAAGACATTTTTGGTAATGAACATTTTTCTGAAGGGTCTAAAGGCCATATTGCTACTGAGTATTTCAGAGATTTGTTTACAAGGTCAAACCCAAGAGATTTGGAAACTCTGTTTGAAGGGTTTGATACTAGGGTTACTTCAGAAATGAACGCAGTGTTAACCAGAGAGGTATCACCCGATGAAATAAAAAAAGCAGCATTTGGTATCAAAAGTAGTAGCGCCCGCGGCGAAGATGGTCTTACTGGTTATTTTTACCAGAAATATTGGCACATTGTGGGACAGAAAATTATTGGTGATGTTCAGGGTTTTTTTAAAACAGCCATACTCCCTGCTGGTTGGAACCATACACAGTTATTTTTATTACCCAAAATTTTACAGCCTACGGAGATGAAGGATATGGGTCCCATTAGTCTTTGCACTGTACAATATAAAATCATTTCTCGCATTCTTTGTGATAGAATGAAAACGATTTTACCAAACATAATTTCGGATACTCAAGGGGCCTTTGTTGGAGGTAGGTTAATTACATATAATGTTATTATAGCACATGAACTGGTACATGGCCTGCGTACCAATGATAAAATTGGTAAAGAAAGTATGGCTATTAAGACAGATATGTCTAAAGCCTCTGATCGGGTTGAATGGAATTCTTGAAGTTCTACTTGAAAAAATGGGTTTTGATCGGAAATGGGTCGTTTGGATTATGTCATGCATCACCACTGTCACATTTTCAGTGTTACTAAATGGACGATCTGATGGATTTATTAAACCTGAGAGAGGAATACGTCAGGGAGATCCTTTATCCCCTTTTTTATTCATATTATGTGCTGAATCTTTGGTTCATCTTTTAAACAGAGCTGAAGCACATGGGAAATTACATGGTATAAAGCTAGCTAAAGATAGTCCTTCTGTCCATCATTTGCTTTTTGCGGATGATAGCCTGCTCTTATGTGAAGCCTCTATCAAGGATAGTGTAGAAATTTTGGATTGTCTGAAAGTCTATGGGGAGGCTTCTGGGCAAATGATTAATCCTTTGAAGTCTTCTATCATTTTTGGGAAAAAAAGTAGCCGAAGATACAAAAGAAAATATAAAAATTTCTTGGGTATTGACAAGGAAGGGGGTGAAAGTTCATACCTTGGTCTCTCTGAATGTTTTCAGGGATAAAAAAAAAGATCTTTTAAATTTTATCAAAGAGAAACTAGAAGGCAGACTACAGGGTTGGTACTCCAAAACTTTATCAATGGGGGCCAAGGAAGTTTTAATAAAATCGGTAGCTTTGGTCCTCCCAATATATGCAATGTCAGTCTTTCGGTTACCAAAAGGTCTCTGTGAACGAATCACGAGTGCGATTATTGAGTTTTGGTGGAGTAGTGGGGACAAAAAAAGGAAGATCCCCTGGGTTTCCTGGGAAAAATTGTGTAAACCCAAAGAACAGGAAGGTCTTGGGTTTCATGACATTGGTCGTTTCAATCAGGTTTTGCTTGGTAAACAAGCTTGGCGAATTTGGAATAATCCTGATTCTTTGGTCTCTCGCATTTTGAAAGGCAAATACTTAAACAATGGAAATTTTTTGGAGTGTGGTATGGGGACACGTCCATCATATGCATGACGGAGTATCATGCACGGTAGAGAATTATTAAAACAGGGTTTATACCGACATATTGGCAATGAGGTTAATACCAATGTTTGGGCTGAAAATTGGATTATTGATACTATTCCTCGGTCATCAATGTACCGGAAGAATAGTTCCATAAATCTAGCGCTAAAAGTTTCACACTTATTTGTGCAGGGATCGAACCAGTGGGATATTAATTTATTAAATCAAACTTTTACGGCACAGGATGTTCAAAGGATCTTACTCCTAAAACCATCACTGTTACTTGAAGATACAATCAGATGGGGTTTCACAACAAGTGGCTCATATTCGACTCAGAGTGGGTATAAATTGTTAGAGGCTTTGGTCGACTTTGATCATCCTCCAGAGCACTCTCTCACTCCTCTTGAAAAACAATTATGGAAAGAATTATGGAAGGTTAAAGCCCCACCAAAAATAAAACATTTTATGTGGCGCGCTCTATCTGGTGCTTTAGCGGTAAAACAACGATTGAATACTCGGGGGATTCCGGTAGACCCAACATGTTCAGTATGCGGTAATGCGGCAGAAAGTATATGTCACGTTTTCTTTACTTGTTCGAAAGCACGTGCTACTTGGGAACAAGCTAATTTCCCCATACCGTTAGGTGGTTTTTCTCAGAATTCAACGTTTTTAAATTTTGTGCATCTTATCATGATTGTCAAAAAATCAACAACGGATATTCATACAAGGAATGTTTTCCTTGGTTGTTATGGGAAATTTGGAAAGCTAGAAATGCCTTTGTTTTTGAAACCAAAGATATCGAGGTTTCTTTTATTGCTAAGATAAGCCTATGAAGAGGAATCAACATGGTTTGATATATTTTCAGGAGCAAGGAATAATGTTTTGGAGGTTCCTTCTGTAATGATTCGATGGCAAAAACTACCCAAGGGTTTCCTCAAATGTAATGTTGGTTACTCTTGGTTAAACTCTAACCGTCCTAGTGGTGCTTCTTGGATCTTACGAGATGAAAATGGGTGTACAGTTATGCATAGCCGTCGGTCTTTTCTTATATGCGCACAAAGACAAAGGCTGATTTGTGGTCTCTTTTTTGGGCGGTGGAATGTGTCCACAATCTGCATTTCTCTAATATCATTTTTGAGACTTCCTTCGAGACCCTCCATGACGCACTCACACATCCAAATGGCCACCTCATTTTTAGACATATTCGTCACAATATTTCTTTCCTCCTCGCCAGGATAGATTCATGGAGTTTAGACCACGCATTTCCAAAGCGCAATGAAGCAGCAGACGCTATTGCTATAAGTGTCACTCGCGATAACCGTCACCAGTCCTACATCGCCCATAATGCACCCGTTTGGCTACATCACCTACTTGCTTTGGAGGCTCAGCTATAAGGTTTTGGGTGAGGTTTCTTTTTCGTTATCCGTTGATGTCTAATGATATCTCCTATCTTCTCTGTTTTTCTCTTTTTTATTTTTCTGGAACTTTCTTTGTACCATTGCACCAGTGTTATAAAAAAAAAAAAAGATAATTCACATTTATGCACACTAAATGAATTGCCATGTGCTAACGTTTATGCACATGCTATCAACGATTCCATACGCGTAAAAGCTTATGTCATCATAAATTATTACGAGAATAACGTACCAGATCTGGGAGATACAAAACATTATATACGTTCTATTCTCTTACGATGTCTTACGTTAAGGTTGGATTAATTACTGTGATTTAAAACAAATTTCATAAACACTCTTTAAAACGTATGATACCGTATATGTTCATGAACAAAAGAGAATTTATTCTAGATAAAAATAAATATTTCATGCATGTGTCAGTAATGTTAACAACCGTAAATTTTACCGCATGATGCAAAAAATTAGTATTATGGTTGTTACCAGAAACGTAAACCCAGATTTCAATTCAACAGTTTTTTAATCTAACAAACAAGTTAACCGACACATGAACCATTTGTGATTTTTCAAAGAATCTATGAACTTTATTCATGCAAAACATCTTTTATGACAATTAGAGTTGGCCGTATCGCATCATTTGACACTACCCATTTTCATTGTCGTAACTTTAATAATCAAGTTCAAAATTCAATGCGAACGTTTCACAACAAGCATCACGTAAAACAGATTCCTTTAAGGATGAATTAATCAAATCTAAGATGGTTCTGATACCACATGTTAGATTATTTTATGATTTCAATTATAAAATCAACACCAAGACCTAATTTAGATTTGACTAACTCAATCCTAACACATTTCTAAAGAAGGTAGAAAGACTAACTTTGATCCATGCTTGGATGCAATCCCACCAATTGATATTCTCCCCTTTAACTTTCTCTTTTATGATTTCCTTGATCGACAAGAAATCCCAAATCTTCCTCAGTCTCTTCTTTAATAACTTTCTCTTTTATGTTGTAGTGTGTTTTTAAGAAAAAAAACTTTTTTTTTGTTACGGATAGAATGATACACGAATCCTTTTAATAATCAAGCAAAAGGACGTGTGTAAACACAACTCTCCAACATAACTTTTCGTTATTAACCGCACCGGCATATAACATCATATATGATATTAAACCTTATGATAATATAATCATATACTATTACCTTTCATATATATATATATATATATAATCACGAGACTAAGGAGATTTATAAAACATAAAGTTAAAGTAGGAGGGTTATCAATACACCCATATTCTAAATCATTAATCAAAACTGATCCATTACGGTATTGTCTTTTACATTAGAATTTATAAACATTAATATGAACTTAAACTTTATATTAAACCAATAGACATATAGGTCACATAGAATATAAAATATTCTTACAACTACGAGCATCCTCGTCGATTTCTTTTTGCCCAACAATTTTCAACATATATTTTTGATAGTCTGCTGCAGTTATGAAACCATTCTGGTTTACATCTATAGACCAAAAATTTTGAAGAATATCTTTCTTTTCCTCCCAGGACAATGTAACTTCTGTGGCAAACATTCCCACCATCGCACTTTTTCTAAATAAGTCCTGACAAAAACAACAGAAATTTACTATAGCAACTCCATTATTGAATCATTGTTTAGGTAAGACAAAAAAAAAACGTTTAAAACAATGGTGAAATTTCCCCATATAAGATCACAAATATTTTTTTGTTCAGTTTAAATGCTCTTAAGAAGGGTTTAAGAATCCCTTACTTATCTATGAATTTGACGATCTCATCAAAGCTGATCCGACCATCACCATTAACATCAGATGCCTTGATGATCTTACGAACTTCTCTATCGGTTACTTTGCGCCCATCTTTTGACATCACATATCGAAGCTCTTGTTCAGTTATGAAACCATTCTGGTCTACATCGCAAATCCTAAAATCTTCCTTGAGCTTTTCCACTTTTAGTTTGTTCAACATAACTGTTGAAATCTTTTCAAGCATCGCAGCTTCATCAGGCCTGATCAAAAGGAAAACCAAAATCTAAAATTATAGAAACTCCACCACTGAATCACTGATGAAGAAAGATAAAAAAAAACAAATTATTTTAGATAGGCTAAGATGGCCCAAAAAAAGAATTGTGACAAAAATATGATCAGGAGAAAAATAAATCTCCAAAACAACACCATTCAAAATATAAAGTGATTTATATATAATGATTAAACTATTCCAAACTCTTACCCTAATATCACCCCAAAATACTAAACTCTAAACCTGAAATCACTAAACTCAAACGTAAATAAAATTTAAACAAATTTTTAATTTTTAGTTATTGCTATTTTGGAAATTTTATCTTTTATGTGATGTTTTGGAAATTCTCTTCTTTTGTGCTATTTTTTTTAACAAAGAGGTGTTTTAGTGCTATTATATTATAAGGTGTTTATCAAGATATAAGAGGATTCTAGTTGATTGAGCATAAAGAGACGAGTAACAAACCAGTTACGAGAGTGTTCTCCAACAATGGTTGCTACACATGTCAAAGCATCAATCCATCTCCGCTTCTTTTCCTCTGCTACACCTTCACATGCTTTCTCGAATGCGACCCCAAAGTCTCCCTTCTGTTTCTTTATGTCTGCAGGATCAACGTCGTAGAAAATCGGCATCACACTCTGCCCAAAATCTTCTTTGCACTTCAAGATTTCAACCAGTTCATCTAAACAACAGCCTGAAGAAGCGTAATTCTTCGAGAGCACAACGATGGACGCTTTTGCTTCTCTAATGGCTTGCATGAGCAAAGGTCCGATCGACTGGCATCTCTCCATATCCTTATCATTGAACATCGTGATTTCTTTCCTTGCAAAGACACTTTGTAAATGACTGAGGAAATCTCTACGAACATCTGGCCCGTGGAAGCTCGGGAAGATTGCGTGGGACAAAGAAGAAGAAGAAGAAGAAGCCATGAGAGAGAGTTGGAACAAAAGAGAGTTTGAAGAAAGTTACTACTGGCTTGTTGAGGAGACAAGTTAGTTGTTCATATATATAAGCAAACCACGTACATAATTAAAGGAAATGTCAAAGGAATATTGAATCAGACTGTACTGGAAACTACTGGCTAGTTTCCACGAAGTCGTGAGTGACTCGTAAGAGTTTTTTTTTGGGGTGCAATTGTTAAAAACTCATAAAGACTCGTAAGTAGAGTTTTGTTTTTGGTGGAAATGTGAGTCTGTGCCTCTTGTTTTCTTATGGCCGCCAAGGACCACTGGCTTGTTTTTATTGATAAACGTCGAATATAATTTTTTAAAAATTCACATTACGGTGGAGAATGTTGGATCAAATAAAGAAGCCCAAAGGCTTTTATATAGATTTGTGAATAAATATGACTTGGGCTGTATGTCATATAGCCCACATAATGTGTTATGTTTGTTCTAAAGTCCCACATCGGGCAAATGGAGAGGTTTTGAGCAATATATATATGTACTCAGGATATGAGTGTGTAAACAGCTCAGTGAGAGAGGAAGCGCTCCACGCGCGCGCCGCCGCCGCCGTCCGGCCCGGCTCGGCTCGGCGTGGGCTTGGGCTTGGGCTTGGGCTTGGGCTTGGGCTTGGGCTTGGGCTTGGGCTTGGGCTTGGGCTTGGGCTTGGGCTTGGGCTTTATTGGAGGGCCTTCGGCCCGATAAGAAGTTATCTTTTTGGGTCAAGTTAAGCTCAACGTTTTGCCATTTCATTTCTAAAAAAACAGCATGACATTTGTGTATAAACGACGTGTAGTTCGTTTAAAAACGGCACGACATTTATCTGTTCGAAATGGTTGAGAACGAGTCAACTA